ATATATATATATATATAGAGAGTACAATTTAAAAAGATATAATAATTTTTTTATAAGGCCTTACAAGTTTTATAAAACATTAATTTTATTTTTAAAGTTTTGTTCCTACCAAAAAATCATGAGTATATGTGTGTTTGTTGTGAGGACCCCTTTTTCTTTTCCTTTCCGACTCATTCCAGCTCTCATTTTTTTTCTCATTTTCCCTTTGTAAATGCGGAAAGTTTACAGCATTTCATTATCCATGTTCTCATGTTATAGCTGCATGTGGTGTTGTTAGCATTGATTACTACCAGTTTATAGATCTTGTTTATACCTATGATTATGTTTTAAAAGCCTACTCTGGTCCGTGGGAACCAACCGGAAATGAAGACTTAATCCCTCCAAGTAATGAGGATTGGATACTTGTCCCAGATCCAGCATCGGTGCGCGGGAAAGGGAGATCAAAATCCACAAGGATTAGAAATGAAATGGATTGGGCTGAGAGCTCACAACGACGACCAAAATGTAGCATATGCAAACAAGAGGGTCACAACAGGCGCAATTGTCCATCTAAGTCTAATAATCAGTCGATAAGTTTTGAAGATGTTTAGAATTTTGTAAAGATAATGTAATTATTAATGTGTATTCATCATGGTCATTGTATAACATAATGTAATTACTATTGTCTATTCATAATTATACAAAATCTACTCTTCATCGTCTTCCTCATCTTCCTCATGATCATGCCCTCTAACAGTAGCAGGAGTTAGAATACACCGTCGTCGTCTTTCCTTAGCAGCCCTTTGAGGATTTCTTTGAACAGGTAATTGTTCTGGCTGCGATGGTGGATGACTAGCCTCCGCAGAAAATTGTGGACGCAAATCAACACCTACAACGTCATATTTGACACAAATTATTAATAATCATAATAATTATAAGAAGAAAATAATAACAAAATAATAAAATATGAGTATACCTGATGTATAAGCACGACTGATATAATCATGATCTTACAGAATATGAAAAGGTGCTTCCTGACTCGATTGTGTGGCATCCTGTGGCATACTTGGCTGTGGAGTCATTAAAGGGGAATGTCCAAAAGTATGATCCATCATTTCTGATGACATAGTTGGTTCCGGTGATGAGTCTAAACCAAGTGACTCACAGATATGTGTAGTAGTCATCGGAACTAATGTCTCAAAACATGGAGGGCAAGGTGGGGTGTACCAATATGTGTATTGGGACTGCGATGGATAAGTGGGCTCCTGAGAAGGAATATAATATAACCCTGCTGCTCTGTCTGGCACTGTAGGGTACATCTGATCCATCGCCTCAACTGGCGTTCTTCGTCTAGGTAACCCTCCAACCTCCCTTGACTGTGGAGGAACATTGAAAGTCCCCACGTCATATGAACCAGGGGGAACGGGTGCTTCCTCAGCTGGCTCAACGAATCTAGCCCTATAGTCATCAGATATCGATAATAATCGATTGGTCTAAGGAAGCATTTAGATTTACATTTGAGAGTGCATGGCCGAGTAATGCAAACCAAATGCACTTCAAATGAAACCTAAATTAACCTTAGATGCTACTTGGTGGCCAAGGATGAAATCTTTGGGTTTGGTTAAGCTACATTTAGGTGCATGATAAGACCATGCAACCTAGGTGCCCTCCACTTGGGCCTAAGCCTTGCCAAGTCCAAAAATAAATCCAATGCCACCAAAAACACGTTTAGGCCTAGTTTCGAACCTTAATAAAATACCCTAGCTATAAAATAAAATAAAGTCCTATAATCTAAGGCACCCCATAATACAAGGGTAAAATGGGAAATACAAGTAAAAATAAATCCTATGTCTAAGGTACCCCAAAATACAAGGGTAAAATAGGAAATACAAGTCAATAAAATCCTATGTCTGAGGTACCCAAAATACAAGGGTAAAATAGGAAATTAAAGATAAGGGTAAAATAGGCATAAAGTAAATCCTACACTACAAGGCTTAGGAAAATGATTAATACTCTATAACCATAAGGAGCATGTCTCTAGGGGTGTTAGCTCCCTTATCCCCTTCTGTTCTCCAAGTCGTGTGTAGTGACTAGCCGGGTCTTTACACTTTAGTGGTATCAGAGCAGTTCGAGTCTAGTGGACACTCTTTGGGGGTGGTTCCTTTAGGCTTTTGTTGTGCTGAGCTCTGAGTTGCGTTGTCTTGCTGTGCTGTTTTGCTGTGTTGTTTGTGCGCTGATTGCTGTGTTATTTTGTTGTGTTGTTGATGGTTGTTTGGTTTAGTTATTGCGTATTGAAGATGCTGTTACTTCTATAGACAATGACTATAATCAATGAGCTGATAGCCCGTGCCATGGAGATGGTGGCTATGGCTATGCAGCAGCAAAATTTTTATTTTGCTAGGATGGATGCTAATAGAGCTGCAGCTGGTGCAGCAAGGCCCTTGGGGTCGTAGGAGAGCCGGGATCTAGCTGAGTTCTGGAAATGCCGTCCTCCTCAGTTCAAGGGAGATGCAGACCCAGAGGTAGCTGA